GAAAACTCAATGGCCCAACTCATTCCGGCCCATAAATACCACAAGGGAATGGGCTTGCTTGATGAGGATGGAATATGCCCAGTTTGCTTGTCTCAATTTGAAGAGGGTGAAGAGTTGAGAACATTGCCAGAATGCTTACATTCATACCATGCTCCTTGCATTGATATGTGGCTCTATTCACATTCAAGTTGCCCTATGTGTCGCTCCGATGCCACTCCGTCGCCGTCGCCTCAAATAAATCCCGTTCATCAACCGGATTCCATGCCGGCGCATCAAGATTCGGGTATGTTACATAATATTGTACAGTCCCGGACAATGTGACCATAGTAGTTTGGAACTAGGTTTCTAAGTTGTGTCAACTTTTCAAATTTTCATGCCATTTTGATTGTTTTCTATGATACATTTAAGGTTATTAGTTGCTAATCGATTTGGTTCCTTTGAGATGTGTTCAGCTTAAATTATACATATTCATGGAGCAAGAATATAGCTTTAAACTTAAACCACTTAAAAACAAATTAGAGAGTATACAGGTAACTAAAAGAGATCATTGCTTATATTTGATGAAGACAGTTGATTTCATACAATTCCATATTGTGCCTATGAAAGTAGGGAGTTTGAGCAGGACATTTATGTAGCTGAAAGCCTGAAACTAACAAGGAACTTGAGAAATTTTGCCAAAAATTTTCCAAAAAAAAAATAAAAAAAATTTGGACCATTTCTCGATTTGTGCGTGTCATCCTTGCCATGCTAATTTTCTCTGTATCGTTCCAATTTTATTAGATGTCCCTGAAGGGACAATCCCTTGTTGCAATCCTTGGCTATATAAATCCTCAGCTAAGCAGTCGACGTGGGATATTGGCATTCCAACGGGGATGCCTTATTTACAACAAACACTACTTATGAATGTCAGCAATTCATTAATTGACTTGAAAAAAAAAACATATAACATATCGTACATAGTACATACAATTGGTTATGAGTTTGATAGAAGGAATAGAAGGAAAATATTTTAATGGTATAAACCACATAATATAAGCAATGTATATATATATATGGTATTAACAAAGGGAACAGAAAACTTTTAGCTTCTGAAAGAAGAGATGATATCCATATTGAAAGAAAAAAGCTTTAGGTTATGAATATGAGCAAACAAAGAAGAATTTGATAGAAGGCAAATTCTTGATTGCTTGGATGAGAAATGGAATATCAAAGAAATATATTAAAATTAGCTACAATGAAACAAAGCAAGCAAGCCTATGTCTTCTTGAGAATTAGCAGCTTTGTAGAATATTTCAAAACCAAGATATATAGCAGAAACGTTCTGAATATAAGAGGGTGACAATCAAAACCATGGAATGAGGGGAAGAATGATGCAACAACTTACAAATTTCAATTGCATATCAAAGAATATACCCTTAAGCAAGAACACATATATATAAATGAGCTTAGCCAATATTTCTTTCACATTAATGTTAAAAAGGCATTCACTAAACAGATTCACAGAACATATATAGAGATGAACATTCTTTCTAGTTTCCACAATTTCAAATATTACAGCACAACTGATTATAAAGAAATCAAGGTTATCTTTTATACAGAACCTTTTCAAAAAATTTCAAAACATGATGGATCTATACTGCCACATTTGAACATACCAACAAAAAGTGTTGTAGTGCATGCAGCGGCCGGAAATCCCTTGCCCACCATTTCCTTGAGAAGTTCTATTGCCTTTGAGGTAAAGTTTTCTCGCAGAAACCCCTAGATCATCACATTATAACTACAGCTATTTGACAAACAATCATTATCTTCCATGGTCCTAAACAGCTTGTATGCTTCGTCTGACAGCCCCTCTGCACACAATTCACTTATCATTATAGTATATGTGACAACATCAGGCTTTAAACCTTTGATAGGAAGTCCATGAAATAATTCTGCTGCAACTTTAGTAAATCCAGCTTTGCACAAGCCATCAATCAAAATATTATAATGGACAATATAAGGTTCCACCCCACTCTTTTGCATTTCCTGAATCTGCTGGATTGCCTCTTTGATTTTACCATGTTTACATAAACCATCCAGCAAAACTGAAAAGGTCGTCAAATTTGGAGCTAGGCCAGAAGCACGCATCTGCTTGAAAAGTTCTTCTGCCATGGAAACTCTCCTTTGTCGCCACATGCCATGCATAAGAGTGTTATATGTGACAGTATTGGGGGCTGGTCCTTTTTGAGATATTTCATGAAAGATTTCCACTGGTAGATCTAACCTTTTTGGTTTGCAATACCCGTTGATCATGGAGTTGTAACTAATTATATTAGGTGCACAATCCTCCTTAATCATCTCAAACACTTTTCTAGCTTTGTCCATGTTATTCTGCAAACAATAACCATCTATCAATGTAGTATAGGTTACACTCGATGCCTTGTTTTATCATTGTGTCAACAAATAGTTCGGCTTTGGAAATCATCCCCTCCTTTGAAAATGCATCTCGCGACCAATATATTGTAAGTGACGACATCAGGTGCAATATTGGAAGAAACCATTTCATTCAAAAATCCTGTTGCCTCCTCTAAATGGCCAGAACTACACATATATAGCATGAATTAAACAATTGTAAGCGACAATATTTGGTGAAATGGACATACTCTTCATCTCGGACAGAAGCTCAAAAGCCTCGGTTAGCATCTTATCATTTAAAAGGCTGCCAATGACAGTGCTATAAGCTACAACATTAGGTTGGAAACCTTTTTCTCTTATCACCCTTAACAACCAAACTGCTTGATTTGAGTTGCCAATTTTACACAGGCCATTAATCAGGTACTGTAAGTAATTAAATCAGGTTTATACCCTTTTGCAATCATGTCGTTAAACAAACAGAAGGCCTGAGAAACCGTTGGATCAAAAATGGATAAAAGTATAAAATAAAACGAGAACAGAACAGAGAAATAGAAAGAACAGATTAGGATTTGGATTCAAAGAGGCTGGTTTTTCATACCAGACCTTCAAACTTTCATTTGATTATAAATTTGCATAAAGCAACATTGTTTACAAGTTGAGCAAGTGGACTTGACAAGAGAGTTGATTAAAAAGATTAAAAGATAAGCTTAGACTAAAGCTAGATAAGATTACACCAGATTTAGACTAAGTTCAAACCGTCATTTGATAAAAAGTGACAGAAGCAAGCAGCTGCAGGCATCGACTTGCAATTCAGCTGCTTGCTTAACCTGTTTAAAAATAATCCACTTGACTGAGTTAAAATCCATGCTTCTCCTTGGTTAAGATTGGCTGCAAAACTAGCTTCTGGTGTGAACATTCCAGCAGCAAAAATAGCAGCTTCAAAACAGTGCTTTTCAACTAACATAACTAACTTGAAATTGTTTCTGTTGCACAACTAACTCAAACAGAAACCTTACTTTGAGATCAAAGTCTGTTGATCAAAGTCGACAATACACTAGGTTCAATACCTAACTTGAGCATTCTCCCCAAAACAGAGAAACCAAAATCAACATGATCCAAATCGCAAAAACAATTAATCAAGATGTTCATAGTGTAAACACTAGGCCTTATCCCTAACAATGCCATTCGGTTAGACAAAGAAACGGCAACAGTGAATCCTTTCATTCAGACAATAAATGATAATAATTTATTGAATTCCACAATGGACGGCCTTGGGTTACTCGCAACCATCTCATCAAACAAAGAGAGGGCATCATCTAAATTACCAGAAAAATCATAATTTCTTCCATTTCTGATCGGTCGTTGAACAAATCACAAAATAAATCCCCACAAACTTATAACTAATAGTTAGGGCAAGTAGGGGTCGAATCCACAGAGAAGGTAGGAGCAAATCAAAACCAAATTACACAAAAGAAAATCTTACCAAAGGAGATTTTTTATAGGTTTTCCAAATAGGTAAACTAAATTAGAAAACAATTATATAAATCTAAACTAATGACTAAGAAAAAAATTTAAGAGAAACAATTAATTAAAAGCATAGTTCTTCTCCTTTAGGTAATTATTTTGATCAAGTGAATCATGGATCATAGACACAAAACATAAATTTGACTTAAATTGCAATCAATTAAGAATCATAAATCATCCCAAATCGGTATTTAGCCTAAGACGTAGACATCAACTTTCATTGAAACAAAGTAATCCTCTTAATATCTTAAACAACTCCATTTGAATAATTGGTATAGGAACAGACGTAATGCTAATTCCAACATGCTAGGAAGATTAACCCGCATCTCGCTAACAATTAATCACAAATATTCTAATTGCGGGTCTATTTCAACCATAGAACACACATTAAGTTTTACTTATCCACATACATGATAAATCAATACCAAACTTGTCTACATCAATTTCCATCTCGGCCTAAAGATTTCAACAAGGTTTGATATCCCATTGAACCTAGGACTCCTAGAATTACAATTGTCACTTTGACCAACTTTAGCTTGACTCAAGCTACTTGAATCTAACAATAGCATTCATATTATCAAGACAAGTAGTACTCCAAATCCATCAAAATATGAACACATAGAAGCACAGGGATAAGAAACATATTCAAACAGAAAAATCAAATTATTAAGAACAAAAGTCTCACCATAGATTTATTGATAAAAAATACCTAAGGAAAAGAAGTAAAAAGGTTTAACCTCTCATGGATTGGAGTTTCCAATCCGTGAGAGATTGAAAACTTACAAACCCAAGAGGAAAAGAGAAGGAGGCGGCTGCCTCCTCTCCAAACCGCAAAACCTAGAGAATAAGAAGAGAAAAGTTGTGTTGTAAGTTGTTCTAGGTGTACTAGGATTTTAGACTTAAGAGGGTATTTATAGAAGGTGGCTTAGGGTTAATTTAGAGCTAAACAAACCCTAAGGACGTGCTGGGCTACTCTCCAAGTCTTCAAGCTAGTCCAAATAAGAATTTGGGCTTAATTGGATCAATCCCGCAAGAAAGGCCCAAGACAGTTTCTGTCCGCTGACTTCAGGGGATTTTCGTCCATGAAAACGTCCGAACTGGGCTTTGACCAAAACACGAAAGTTGTAGATCTTGGAGTTATCTTTCCAACGGCTACTCATCTGCCTCAAACGGAGCTCTGGATCAAAAGTTATGGCCAAAATACAGAAAGGTCGCCAAATCTGAAAACAATTGGAGAAGCTGCAAGAAGAAGTGACACGCGATGGCATGCTTGGTGCGCGCGGAGTCATGCCCCGACTCCCCCTGGGCGCCCACCTGGTTGCACTGAGCGCCCAGGTCGTTTGCTTCAGGCCCCAGGTCGGCAGCATCCATGTGGCTGCTGGGCGGCATCCCCGACTCTGGCTGGGCGCCCATGTCGCAAGCTTGGCGCCCCACCTGGTTTGTCTCAGGACCCATGTGCTCCAGTGCTTGTCCGCCACTTGACATGTCTTCTTGCCTTGAAACTCAACTTTGCTCCCTTGCTTCGAACTCTTGAAAATCAATCTTATGATGATAAAATTGACTCTTCAAGCTCTTCAATCACGAACATATTAGCTCCATTCTTCATCCAAATTGTCCTTGGAAAATATTTGTGTGAATAATCATTCAAAAAGGCTCCAAAAAGGTACAAAATTGGTGACTTTGCACTTTTCTTCACTTTAGCACCTATAAACACAAATATACCAAATATAAGGCATAATCAATCATAAAATACCCAAAAAGCATAGGAAAATGACCATAAAAAAATGCATAATTTTGGTCTGATCAGGTGGTTGATTCCAGACATGCTGATAAGGTGTCCAGAGCTGGCAGGAAGCGAGGTTCGGGTTCTGCTGGTTCCAATTCGAATGATGGTCAAGGGGCTATTAAAAGGTAAAAGGATATGGACATTGAATGGGTTAATGCTGCTGCTGTTAATTGTTCTATTAAGGCTGGAGCTGCTAATGTGGTGGAGGATGTGGTCAGAGCTGAAGGGGCTGTTTGTGCTACTGCAAAAGTCTGTACTGTTAGTAATATCAAAGATGTAACGGCGGGGGTGGCCAAGGAGAGCCGCACCTGCCGAGATCAATGAATTGTATGTTTTGGAACTGCCGAGGATTGGGGTCTCCTCGGTCTGTTCATGCTTTGAGTCGTCTCATTCATTGTAATAAACCCCTAATTTTGTTTCTGTTTGAAACGAAATGTAATAAGAATGCGATGGATTGGATTCGTTATTGTTTGGGTTTCGATTATTGTCTTACTGTTGATTCTATTGGTCGTTCTGGGGGTTTGGCCCTTCTTTGGATGAAAGATATTTCTGTTTCTATATTATCTTTTTCTCAATTTCATATTGATGCTTAAGTAGGTTCTCATCCTGAGGATTCTTGGCGAATAACTGGTTTTTATGGCAGACCAGAAGCCAGTCTTCGATCAGAGTCGTGGGGTTTACTTCGTTTGTTAAAATCCAGATCGTCCCTACCGTGGTTGTGTGCAAGTGACTTCAATGAGGTAACATCCATTGCGGAGAAGCAGGGGGGTAATTTTTGCGGCCAAGTGCTCAGATAGAGGCTTTTGTTTCGGCGATAGAAAATTGTGGTTTTAGGGATTTGCCAGTTTCGGAGCCTTTGATGACCTGGTCGAGGAGGATCAATGGTAACATGGTTTCTGAAAGATTAGATAGGGGTCTAGTTACTGATGATTGGTTTCAAAAGTTTGGTGCTTCGGTTGAAAGGCACTTAATATCGACAGCTTCAGATCATCTCCTTCTCTTGATCTCGGTTAGTAGTCAATTCTCTTCTTTTAATCCTATTTCGAAGATTTTTCGTTTTGATTATTTCTATTACTGAGAAAATCCATACCTGTAGTAGAGCTTTGTCTGATTGGGAAAAACATGGGTTTGGGAATTTAAGGCATAAAATTTTCCGGAAAAAAAAGGATTTGGAGCAAATTTTTTCTCAAGGTCAGGATGCTGAGGTTTTCGAGCAAACTAAGCGAGAGTTTGAGGATCTTAGCGCACAGGAGGAAACTTTATGGCGTCAGCGGTCGAAAGCATTATGGTTACGAGATGGTGATAAGAATACTCGTTTCTTCCATAACGTAGCTTCCTTTCGACACCGTCGGAATGAGATCTCTGGTTTGCAAGACTCTTTAGGGATGTGGCGCACTGATCCAACAAGGGTAGTGGAAGTTTTGGGAGAATATTTTGGGAACATTAATTACCTCTTTGAGTCCTTCTTCTGAGGCGATTCATCATGTGTTGGACAGTTTGGACAGACGTGTTTCATTGGACATGAATGCCTCCTTGAATGCCATGTTTACTCCTTTGGACATGAATGCCTCTTTAGATGCCATGTTTACTCCTGACGAGGTAAAGAAAGCTGTCTTCCAGATGCAGGGTGATACTGCTCCAGGCCCGGATGGTATGTCTCCATTATGTTTCCAAAACTGCTGGAATATTATTGAGGATGATTTGTGTAAAATGGTTTTAGCTTTCTTAAATGATGGGCATCCATTGCCGGAGATTAATCATACGAATATTGCTCTTGTGCCGAAGGTATCTTCTCTCAAAACTGCTAAAGATTTTAGACCCATAAGTCTCTGTAATGTTATTTATAAGATTATATCCAAAATGCTTGCTAATCGTCTGCAGCTTGTTCTTCCTAATATTATTAGTCAAAACCAGAGTGCCTTTGTTCCTGATAGAATGATTTTTGATAATGCTATTATTGCTTTTGAAACTACTCACTTTATGAGTAATAAGAGAACAGGTCGAAAGTCCCACATGGCTCTCAAATTGGATCTTAGCAAGGCCTATGATCGCGTGGAATGGAAATTTTTGGAAACAAGTATGATAGCGTTGGGTTTTTCTAGTCGTTGGGTGGCTTTGGTGATGGAATGTGTTTCTAGTGTGTCTTATTCGGTTCTGGTAAATGGGAGACAGTGTGAGAAATTCTTTCCTACAAGGGGAATTAGGCAGGGTGATCCCCTATCACCTTACCTTTTCCTTTTTTGTATGGAGGCATTATCGAAGATGATTTCCACTGCAGACGAGCAAGGTTTGATTCAAGGAATTGCAATAGCTCGGCAAGCGCCTAGAGTGTCCCACCTTTTCTTTGCCGACGATAGTTTACTGTTTTTAAGGGCTTCCATTGCCGATTGTGATATGGTGTTACAGATTTTGAGGGATTTTGAGGCGGCCTCTGGCCAACAAATAAATATAGATAAGTCTTCAATTATGTTTAGTGCTAATGTTCCTACTCAAGATAAGTTGGCTATTATGAATCATTTGGGAGTTCAAAGGATTATTGACAGAAATAAATACTTGGGTCTTCCAGTGATGATTGGTAAATAAAAAACGAGGGAATTTCAATATATAAAGGATAGACTTCTCGGGCGTGTCAGGAGTTGGAACAACAAGATACTTTCGATTGCGGGGAAATCCGTTATGATTAAGGCAGTTGCTCAAGCCATCCCAGTTTATCTTATGAGTATTTTTAGATTTTCTAAGGGTTTTGTTGAAGATTTAAATTCGATTGTGGCAAATTATTAGTGGGGTTCTTCGAGTACTAGAAAACGTATCCATTGGAAAGCCTGGGATTCCCTTTGTGTTTCAAAGGTGACGGTGGGCTTGGTTTTAAGGATTTTGAGGCCTTTAACTTGGCCTTATTAGCAAAGCAGTGTTGACGTCTCAATAACAACCCTGATTCTTTAAGTTTTCGCTTGCTCAAGGCTAAATATTTTCCCTCTGGAAGTTTCATGACGGCTCGACTTGGAAGCAACCTTTCCTTCATTTGGAGGAGTCTACTGGGAGGCAGGCAAGTTCTTGTTGCTGGATCTAGATGGCGCGTTGGGTCTGGGAATATTGATGTTTGGTCCGATCGTTGGTTAGCAGGGGAGCCACCTTTTGCCCCGAGACCGAGAGAAGGCCTTGTTCCGGAGCCTTTATGTGTTTTAGAGCTGATTGATTTTGAGCAGAGGACATGGAGGTTAGAGAAACTTGAGGAGTTATTTGAGGAAGATGATATTTGCCGAATTCTTTGCCTTCCGATTCCTCGAGAGCCTTCTCCTGATCGTCTAATCTGGAATGGGAGTTCATTAGGTATCTTCTCGGTGCGTTTTGCTTATATGGTGGCCCGAATAGTTCTTGATCGTATGGTGCAGCCAATGGGTTCGCGAGCTCATTTTTGTAAGATTATCTGGTCCTCTCATGTTGCTCCTAAGGTACAATTCTTTTGTTGGCGAATCTGTTGGAATATTTTACCAACTAAATTAGCTCTTCAATATCGGGGTGTTCCTGTTAACAATTTATGTGAAGTTTGTGGGGATATTGAGGCTTTTCTTCTTCATGTTTTCTTTACTTGCTATTTTAGTGTTGCTTTTTGGAATATTGTTTGTCCTTGGGTGGGTACTTTTGTGGAACAGTGGGATGGTGAAGGGTTATTTTGAGATCATTTTTTGAGTAAAGCCTTGTCATTTGGGCAGTTAGATTGGGTTCTTTGGTTCCTTTGGTCTATTTGGTCGAACATGAATCGCCGTCTTCACTCCTCGACTTGTGCTTCTTCTGCTGCTTTGGCAATTCAGGCTAACCGATTTCTTAGTCAGTATTCTTAGAGCTTATCCAGTCCAGTACAGTCGAATAATGAGGGCAGGATTTGTTTTTGGAGTCCGCCTTCCCCAGGTGTTATGAAAATCAATTCAGACGCTTCCTTTTGTGCTGCTAGGAAGGAGGTGGGCTTGGGGGTTGTGATCCGTGATAGCGGTGATGGGATTGTTGCTAGTGCTTCCAGGCTTTTGTATTTTGTTTCTGATTCTCTTTATGTGGAGGTGCATGCTCTTCTTTTTGCTTTTGAATTGGCTTTGGAATTTGATATTACCAATTGTATAATTGAGTCTGACTCACTTGTGGCTGTGAATGAGATTTCTAAGTCTGGTCTTTCATAGTGGGAGGGGGGTTTACTTGTTGATGAAATTCGGGTTTTAGTCTCTTTATTTGATAGTTGTAAAATTACTTTTGTAAATAGAGAGGCCAATCATTTGGTACATAGGTTAGCTAGTTTACATGTTGACCATGTGTGGTGCGGGAGTCTTCCTCCTAACATTTGTAACCCTGATATTTCTTGAATCAATGAATTTCTTTGATTAGTTTCTAAAAAAAAAAGATATGTTCTTTTTTAATTTCTTTTAATGGTTGAATTCTTGAATAACTAAAAGTATGAAAGGACATCATTCTCTTATATCCAAAGATGATATGGAATATATTATAAAAAACAATAATAATAGAAAGCGAAAGAACTAAAAAATCAGTCAAAAGATTTAACCTTATTAATTTGATTATTATTTAACTTGGTTTTTTTGTCATTTCAATATTGGTTTTTTCGTTATTCTCACAAACTTCTAAGGGTATTTTTGACTTTTTAATAATTTAATATAATATAACATATTTATATATAAGTGGTTTGGCTAAACGGTCTATTTAACATTATGTAATTTTCTCTCCGGTTATCCGATTAAGTTGATTTAAGTGTCTATTAAAAGATTGTTTCATGATCTACAACTTTCATGAGGGACTCGAAAACTAAATTTAATGTTTCAAGCATCAAAAATGCTCCCGAAAAATGTACTGTTTCGGTTAACGGGAATAGACGGTACACTTAATATTATATAACTTTTGCTCTAGATGTCTGATTAAGATGATTCAAGTGTCTCTTGAAAGGTTGTTCCACGATCTACAACTTTCATGAAGGACTCAAAAACTAAATTTCATGTTCAATGTGTAAAAAATTCTTCCAAAGAATTAGTTGTTTCGGTTAACAGAATTAGATGGACTACTTAATATTACGTAATTTGTGCTTATGGTGGAAATTGGACCCATAAAGGGTTTTTTCCAAACTTCCCAAAATACCCTCGGTCTTTAAATTAAATAACAAAAAATCAAGCATGAAATGACCAAAAACCCCTGCCAATTTGTTCTTAGATTAATGAGTCTAATTCTTTAGACTAGCTTTATGATCGGATCCTTACAATGAAAGTACTAAAAAAGCAGTCAAAAGATTTAACCTTATTAATTTGATTACTATTTAGCTTGGTTTTTTCGTCATTTCAATATTGGTTTTTTTGTATTCTCACAAACTTCTAAGGGCATTCTTGACTTTTTAAATGAGGCTAATTCTTTAGACTAGCTTTATGGTCGGATCTTTACTTAAATTCAAATCTTTCAAAACACATAACCTAAAGTAATTGGTCATTTTCCTCATCATTTGGCAAACCCATAAGTCAATAATAATATTTTGAAAACTGATTGGGAACTATTGCATATCAAGTGCAAGAACATGTTTGCACAGTGAAACGCGCGGGCTCTTACCTAGTTAAGATAATTTAAATTGCCACAATCTCATTTTCTGCTAGCTATGATTTATTCAACTTTTCTCCGAATGGCATTTAGGATTTTTTTTTGGATAATTAAGTCAAAGGGGAATTCTCTTATCCAGCATTAGACATAAATTGATCTTGTAGAAAACCCTAGATACTGTGATCATTCTTTCTTCTTATATATGTTAATTACGCCTTGTGTTAATTTCCCTTCAAAAGCAAGTGAAATTCTGTTTCCTATTATTGTTTCTCCCTGTACCTTTGTCCTTTGAGAGAGCAGTATGTCTTGCACTATTGTCGCAACGTGCAGGTCCAGGGTCCGAACCCTACCACTGAACGACTTTAAAGAACTTAAAACTAAGGGAGTCGCCACTAATCTTTTTTACCTAGGTGTGATTAGCCACCTATTAGATTATTAAGCCTAATGTTAACCTAAGCTTGGTGAAGGCAACATTAAACCTAATAAACGGTCTTCTAACTAGAGTTCTAAAGGTTCGGGAGTCGGGTACGCGTGGGGAAGGATTAGCACCCCCACGACGCCCGTCAAAAGACGGTACTGACTAAATCTAGACTTAACTGGGGGTTTCTATTATTGGTTGATTTTTTTTAAGTATTTTCATGCCATTGGACTCTTTTTTACTAATTACCATTTTCTACCTTTTAACTAAATTACTGAATGCCATTTTTTTACTCTTTTTCTTTTCTTTGCTGAATACCATTTTTACTCTTTTTTTATTTACTTTACTGATACCATTTTTACTCTTTTTACTACTGAATACCATTTTTACTCTTTTTTACTTTACTGAATACCATTTTTACTCTTTTTTTTACCATTTTTTATTCTTCTTTACTGATTACCATTTTCACTTTACTGATTACTATTTACTCCCTATCATTTTACTTGATTACTCTTTACTTTTTACCATTTTACTGTTTACTGATTGCTCTTTACCATTTTACTCTTATTGATTGCTTTTTACTTTTTCACCATTTTACTTTTTACTGATTACTCTTTACAATTTTACTCTTACTGATTGCTTTTTACTTTTTTACCATTTTACTTTTTACTGATTACCATTTCACTGATTACCATTTTACTCTTTTTAACTGGATTAATCTCTACTCTTTACCATTCTTCCTTTACTGATTACTATTTTACTCTCTTGAATTTAATTACCATTTTACCATTTTTCTCTTTACTGATCACTAATTTTACTTTCTCCCTTAAGTATCAATTTACTGATTAATCCATTGACTCTTAATTACTGATTTACTGATTACTATTTTTACCTTGACTCTTAATTATCGATTTACTGATTACTATCTTTTTACTTAATTGCTGATTTACTGATTACTACTTTTACTCCCTTAATTATCAATTTACTTGATTAATCTTTTTACTTTATTACTGATTTACTGATTACTACTTTTATTTTCCTTAACTATTAATTCACTTGATTAATCTTCTTACTTTGACTCTTAATCATCGATTTACTAATTAACATTACTTTGACTCTTAATTATCAATTTTACTGGTTACTATTACTTTGACTCTTAATTACTTAATTCATTGGTTACTATTATCTTGACTCTTAATTTATTGGGGTAGTTGGACTTTTAGTGCATGGATGCATGTGATGCATGTTTTTTCCGGTTAAGTGCATTTTTACCAAATAATTATACGAGGAACACCATTTGGGGACCCGCCACTCATACTGGCTAAAACCCCCATCTGGATGTTCCAAGCCTAGGAAACCCAAATTGAGACTGACAAAAATTGTCAAAGTCCCAATTGATCGTTCCATCGTCGGGTCAATTTAATTTAGGTCTCATGACATAATGAATTGCAACAATTTATCAAAATAAATATGAATGCATATGTTTAAACTAACCTAACACTTTTCTTTTTCTTTTTATTAATCTATTGACAATTAAACTAAACTAAAATGTAAAACTAAAATAATTCTAGAATTTCATTTTTTACCAATTTATTCAAAATTAAACTACATTACTTAAACTAATAATGAGATTAAATCTTAAATTAAACTAATGTCAACTAAACTAAGCGCCCCCTAAAGACCCAATGCATAGAATAAAACTAAAAGAAGCCCAAATGGATAAAAGAATTTAAAAGCCCAAATAAGATTAGGAGCCCAAGTATATTACCGAACTGAATGAGATGGGCCGAACGGGTCATTGAGGTGTATCCGGGTCGGGTTCTAGGGCTTTGTATAAAAACCAAACATTTTCCCTTTTTCTCCCACTTCTTCTTCTTCTCCATCCCACGCATTCGAGACTGCCACCCCCTGAAATCATCTCTTCCGCGGGTTCCGCCATCCCCCACCGTGCCGTAGTTTGGCCGGAGCTCGGATTGAGCGCAAAAATTCCAGTTTGTTGCTTAACGACGGCCTGAACCCGGATCCGACATTCCTTTCGCAAGATCAAGCTCACAACTCCATCAATCTAGCCCAAGCCGAACCATACTTGCGTCTTTCCGATCTCAATACTTCACCGATGAATCGGCTCGAGTTTCAGGTATGTCACTCACCTCCCTCTGCTCTATTTAAACACCGTTCATTTTTTGAATCTAAGCTTCCCAAACTACAAAAAGCTCCTTCCGACCCTTAAAATTTCAAAGTCCCGGCGGCCTGGCTCCGACTTATCCAAGCCATCTATCTCTAAAAACCTAACTCTCAACGAAACCTATTCTCTAAATCACTCCCGGAGATCTCTTTTTTCTTGTTTAAAACCCTCTACTTGCTTCGTATTTTTTTTAGCTTTTTCTGTATTTTTTGTATATATATTTGTTTGTGTTGGTGTAAAAAAATGAAGAACTAAGAATTAAGAACCTTAAACCCTAGCCTCTTCTCTCCAACCCTCCGATTCCTCCCTGATTCCCCTCTTTTTTTACTTTCTAAAACCCTTCTTCCCTTTACTGTGTTCCCTCCTGACCCCTCTTTTTTTCACTCAAAAAAACGGTTCCCCCATCTAGAACCCTCCAAAAACCCTACTGCCATTCCCCCCTTAAACAAAACTAAAAATGTTTTATTTAAAGACCCAACCATTGAATCCCCACCGTGAACCCTCTCCTATCTCACGGTCTCCAAATTTCTCTTTTTATTGTCTATTTTCCCTGTTTTATCAAAATGATCATTGTTGTTTTCTTGTACAGGTGTCACGCCCTTGTTAAAACCGTGTGAGGACCAGTGAAAGAGGAAACCAACAATTTTCAGGTGCTTCTTGCTTCCCACTCTCCCTATTTTGTCTGTTTGTTGATTGCAGTTGTAGTATTTCTCACGTGTCTCTCTTCTTTGCAGATTAATGTTGCTCACGTGTGGAGGGTGATGAGCTCTTCTTTGGCCAGCTTGGCTTCAAGCATGTCAACTAATTCGACAGGGTAACTCTCTCTGCCATTTTCCATCCAAATTTCTTTGATCTTTAAGCTGATTGATGGAGTTGTCTGCCAAAGTGTATGCAAAAATGCAGGGATGTGAACTAATTGCAGATGTAAATGCTCTAAAATTTAATTTACTATGTGCTCTGTTTAGGTGCCCTTAATTTATACATTGGGA